TTCCCCCAAAGTTCCATGTTTGGAAAATCATGAAACACTGTTTAAACTAGAATGATTTCCAGCACACCTTCTCAGTACTGCTGTTTTAAAGGTGGTTTAAAAAGTATAGGAGATAAGTTTGCCAAAAGAATCAGGTTCAACTAAGAAAATATGTACACTGCTTTGACTCAGTAAACTCATACTTGGTATGGTTCATCTTCTTCATATTTACTTTTGCCCATATTAGAAAACAATTAGCTTACTAAACAAATTTGAGTATTTGGGATAAAAAAATCTACTTTGAGTCTCTCTCATTTGACTAAGAATTACATGATATTTGATAAGCTTGTTTAAAAATGGACATATCCAAATATTATTGTAAACACCCATTGATTTGTTTTACCTGCAATATAAGTATTTTACTTAGTTGGCTTACATAGTAGCTAATAATATTTGTTAATGTAATTTAACTGCTGTGAACCTTTACTGAACAAATATTGAAATTTATACAAGTCAAAGAAAGAGAATCTCTAATGACTTTTGTAAAAGCTTCCATTTAATAGTTAAGGAGAAAAGTTTATATGACATACCAGATGCAATTAACAGTAGATTTTACATTTAATAAAAAGAAAGAAGCATATGTATTTGCTTTATTCATTCCATCATAATTTGCATTAGAGCTGTGGGTGTTTAATGAGCAAATTCCAGCTAAAATGCTATATTGATTTTCTAAGTGAACTTTGTAATAGCTATCTACCTTACAAAAGCTCTCTGTTTACAATTGTTTTCTTTACTAAAAACTAAAAATGTTTTAGAATTGATGAGTTTAGCATAATGATTCTTTTAAAATAAAGAGCTCTTTTAGAGTATGCAGGGGGTTTAGTTACAAGGAGAAAGATGTTATTAAAATATTAAAAAAATAAAGTTTATACAACTAAACTACAAGTGCTGTACTTTTATATACTACAATATTTGCAAGCATGGGAAAATAATCCTTTTTTCTTAATTCAGTTCTCTGGGATTTAAATATTTTAACTCTTGAATTCCATTTTATATATATATATATATCTTAGTAAATGACACAATTCACTTTAGCTTAATACTAGACTATTCATATTGCATTTCTGTGTGTTATTTTCTTACCTGAAATATGAATTCTGTGCAAATTTGTCTTTCTTCTTGGTCAGGCTTCAAGATGGAAAGGATAGGTGTGGTTGGTTTGCCACTAGAAGGTCTCCAAGGAAAACCTTGTAATGGTGACCAGAGCAGTTGGTAAAAAAGTAGCTGGATCTGTTTTTTCTTTGGATCAGGCACCTAGTCAGTGTAGCAGTATGGAGTTAGAATTTTGCTGGATATGTCATATCTTGAATGGAATTTAGAAGGGTGACTTGGTATTAATCATTTTTCACCTCACATTTTAAAGAAGCATAGGGATGATAATCCGGATAATTTTTACTCTTTCTAATATGAAGGAATGTCGTGTCACTCTTTCATAGACTCTAACTGGACAGCTTGTACATCACTTGTTTTCCTAGATATGGCACACAATGTTTTGCTTTGCTGCTGCATTGAGACCTAAATGTGTATGGATTTCACTTATTTCAAGCATGCTGTGGTCCTTACAGTCCTGAACTTCTATGTGGTGACTCATCCATAGCTCAGTGTGAATGGGGAATGTTCAGACTACCTGGAATCGTGTGACTGCCATAATATTCCCTAGAGTAGGAAAAAAGGAATTAAAAATGTTAAATAGGAGTCAGAAGTGTATAGCCACTGGGTAACAAAAACATCAAACCTAAATTCAGCTTTGGCTGGTGAAGAGATCAGGTGACTTAGTCATTCACAGACCATTAAAATGAGCTAGATGAGGTCTTTAAGCATTTTTAAATAAGTAACTTCTTTTGGAAGTGTCAGTATTGCTATGTTGTATTAATATGCCATGTATCTAAGTATCTTTTTTTTTTAAACTTAGATTACTATGCAAGCATCTTACATGGTTTTCTACATTTTCCCTAATCTGTTTTAGAATTAAACTTGCTATATTACTTTTAAGAAACAGAACTAAAAACCAGACACTTTTAATTGATAGAGAATGACAGAGAAGTGACATGAATTTTATATATATATATATAAAAATATAATATATAGAATTTACATTAATTATATAGAATTTTTTAATGCAGTTTGTGGATCTGGTCTGTGGGATATTTACACCAATGCTTTACTTTAGTGGAAGGATAAGAAAACAACAAGAAAGAATTGCTCAATAAAGTACTTTTCATAGCTGCTGGTTAAAAGACAGTGTTTTGTAATAGACTTTTGGGTGGGGGAAGGGTTCACTGTTCAAAGGCAATTAGCATCTGAGCTGCTGTCAGGGGTGGTAAGATTTCAGATAAGCAGGATGCTTAAATAACTTGAAGAATATCTTTTTCTGAATGCTTTCATACTGTTACATGTACAATACTTTGGTTTAATGACAAAGAAGAAAAAAATCTGTTTTTTAAAAGCCTGTATAGTCATTATTACCACTGGCCATATTTATGCAGAGAGGGACTGAGATATGCCAAAAGACAGTCGCTCTATGTGTACGTGTACATTCAAAATCCATTGCAGGAGTCAACAAACTGTGGGGTTTCATGCTGAGGTGAGGGTGTTCTAAGGTCTGACAGAAGTGGTGCACTTGAATAGGCCAGAAAGAAGTTAGCTAAACTGGAAAATAATTAACCTCAGAATAGTAATAAGTGCCAAATCTTTAGTTATTTTAGACAACTTTCAGTTCATTGCAGCAATTGTTTTCAAGGTGAAAATTGCCTAGTGTTTCCACTTGCAACTTTATGGAAAAGATTCTCTGTGAAGTGTCTCTGTTTATGACGCTAGATACATTGACATAATTTACTGGAGAAGACGTAGCAAACACATATATTTAGTTACTGATAGGTAATAATTACCACAGAGAATCAAGCTGCCTGTGTATTCCAGATCCAGTCAGGACATAGCAGTTGCACTGTAGTTCACCCAAGCAGTCATTGCTCTGGCACTAGTTTCCCTCCCATCACAGATCTCAGCAATTGAAATGGAAGTCTGGTGAGCTGAAATGCACAGCCTAGGTTACCTCCTATGGTTTTTTTCTTGTCCTTGCTGAGCCACCTACCTTTGCAGATATCAGATGCATTCTCTGCAAGTGCTGTAAACTTATTGCTGGATACCAGCCAGTGCAAACGCAGTGTTACAGCTGCCTTAGTCCTTAGTTTTTCCATTCCACATCAAGCAAAGTTTTCTTGTTGCAAACAGGGGAAATAGATCTTCAAGGAAAAAAAACCACCCTTCTTCTGGATTAAAGAGAATTTAATCAGTGTTTGTTAATTTTTGCATACATTTCAAAATCTGTGCTTCCAGTGCTGAGTTTCTTTTGGTGTTGTTGTTGGGGCATAACTGTTACAGCTCTGACTTGATGAATAGGCTTGTGGCTCCTCTGAGGGGGAAGGACTGGACTTTCACAATTAATATTTAGCCTTTCCCTGTCTGATTTTGTGTAATGGGCTGCTAGCCTGCAACATTTTGCTAGGCTTGCAAAAAACGCTTCCTTACTCCTCAGTGACAGTCTTCTCCCCAGCTTGAGGACAAGATTCCTTTTTTCTTGATACTGATAAAATGTATTTTTTGCCAGTAATATAGTTGCTACAAAAATGTGCTACTGTGTTTCTATTGTTTCATTCTGTGAAGACGAATATAATGTTTCATTATATATTCCACAATGAAGTTTTTTGTGCAATATGTACAGAGGTGAAGTAAGAGTAAAATAACAAATAAAGGCCAAAAAGTTGATCTCAATTTAGGTAAGAATGGAGGGACAAAAGCTCTAGACATGTAGTAGAAGGGAGGAAGTAAAGAGGGAGGAAGACTTTCTTTGAGATCGTAATGACTTAAGCAGTGGTTGAGGGAGGAGCAGATAGTTCTGAAGGGAGTAAGGAAGCCCAGCAGCAATGCCTTAATAGAGAAAGTTCTTGAGAAAGAAACATCAAAATTTGAAAAACACTATGTTAGGAGACTATGGCTATACACCAGTTTGACAGACTAGAAGGGCCAAGGAGAATGGAGAATTCAGGAACCTATAGACCTCAGTTGAGTTTTTTGAGGTTCCAGTGAGAGAGAATATAGAACTCTGTCTTGGAGTGACAGCAGTCTTACAGCATCCTGAAAGTCCCTAGACATTTTGAATGCATGGTTTTATGATGACTGTGAGGAGAGATTTGCAGTATTGCAGAGGGAAATGATGAAAGTATGAATAAAGATTTTAGTGGAGGCAGGGTTGGGGTAAGGATTCTGGCAGTGTGCCAGAGATGGTGTTAGACATATTGACAGGGGAGAGGCAGGGAGAAAATGTAAGCTCAGGATGAGGAATGACTAGAAGGTGTTAGTTTGCTCCTAAGGATAGACAGTAAATCTTAGTTTATTGGTACCTAATGCTCTAAGGTCCATGTATGCTGTAACAGATAATATAACAGTATATTACACAATAAAGTAAAGGTTTGGCAGAGAAGGAGACATGCCAGCTGTGCCACTCTTGTGATACCAGAGACAGACTATAAAAATATTAGAATTTTTAATATCACTGTGCCACCCTGATAGGAAGCGGTCTGATGGTAATAGTTTTAATGTGTGATTACTTTTAACTCTGTGTCCTAGAAGAAACTTGCTAGTGTCTTATATGATTCTGAGCTTTAAGAATTACTTTTCCATTAAGCAAGTATTCAGAACGCCCAGCAAATCACTTTCTTTCCCTGTTAGATTTTATAGGGGTGAATTTGAAAACACATAGCTTTATTTAATACCTTAAAGTATTGGGCATAACAATTAACAGCAATTTAGTGTTGTGTCTAAGAAGCAATATAGACTTTATGCAGAATAATCCAAGGTCATTGGAGAAGTGTTGATTTTAGGAGGGGGTGGCAAAGGCCAACATAAGTGCATCTAATAGTGCTTTTCCCTGTCAAACTTGTTTGTTGAACACACTTTTGCAGCTCTGGTGGAAGAAGTTTATTCTGCTCAACGGGAACGTGATGAGGCTGTCATGGCAAGGCTTAGGTTAGCCAATGAAGAGAGAGATGAAGCATTTCTGCGAGTGCAGCGTTTAGAAGAGTCTCTCAAAGAGTAAGTATACATTTCCTGCACCATGTAAAAAGGCAGTTGTGTCACTCTGTGACAGTCATAAGCTGCTCAACAGTGGTTATAGGAAAACTTAAGACATTATTATCCGTGCAATGAAATAGACTGGGGCTAGTCTTACTGTGTTATTGGTTAATTTGTTTGCTGTTTTATAAAATCCTATTTTTCTCAGGAGACTGAGAGAAGGTGAATAATTTTGATCACAAAAATTAAAAATATAATCTAAAGCTTCAGTATTGATTTATTGAGGGAGAAATAAGATGAATGTGACATTTTATAGGGATCTTTTGACACAGAGTACCAGAATGTCAGTCAAAAGATGCAACATATAGGAAATCAATCAAGCCTTTAAGCCCACTAGACAATTCCTTCAGCAAAATTTCTACTAATTATATGGGTGACACAGTAAAAATATATGGGTTTTTTCCCTATCTTTACTGTAGGAGCAGTTTATAAGGTAATAAGGGTACAATTAATAGTTCATAGACTTTTATGTATGCCATTTTAACTCAACAGAAATAGGCAATCAAATGTTAAACAGAACTAAGTCAGGGGAAATCACAATCATAAAGAGTGGTTTCTTTCTCCCTTGGGATATAGGTAGCTTTGAAGCTAGAGTTTGCTTCTCCATACAATCCTTGGCCATCTGATTTGTGATGATCTTGGTGATCATCTTTGTTAGTCCCACAAAGACTAGAGTGGCTGAGAAATTTCTCTTACTTTTCTGCCCGGAGAAATACAAAGAAACAAGGCTTCCATGGCAGGAGACTGAAAAGGTGCAGTTATTAGTTTACTAAATGACAGGCAATGATGTTTTAATTAATTGATTCTACTAAGAACACTCCTCTTTCAGGCAGAAAACCAGTCATCTTCTTTTGAGTATTGTTATAGTTCAGGCCAGACAATATTATCTAAATTAATTTCAATAATCTGCACATAGTTTATCCACCATTACTCTGTAGAATTTACAAGTTAATAGAGTAGTCTTGTATGTTCCAAGAGTAAAGAAGGTTTTGTATGGCTTCAAACATCACATGATCCTGTATATAAGCAGTTAGCATAAACTCAAGATCTTTGATCTTAAAGCTCTCAAGTAATGCAGAAAATTAATTATTCTGGTCAACAAACTTGGTCAATGACTTGAGTTTCTGGCATATTGCTGCTTTCTCTGCAGTGGAATCCACAGACATATGAGTGGCAGTTCTTGACACATGTGAATCCCTCAGAACACCTTCACTTGTTTTCCCTTCAACCCCTTCTGTCTGCTTCACTCATGTTCTTGTAAACTGACTTAGTTCTGTGCAAAAGTATGAGAAAAGAGAAGAAACTCCATTTCTCAGAGAACATGCATAGTACCTTCCTCAAAAACATGTCATTGCAGAAGGCACTGGAAACACTTGTTCCCAGGAGAATCAGTAACTCCCTTGACTGGTAGTTTGAAGCCAAGCTATTACATTTTATTGCTATCATTTAGAGAACAGCAATTGTACTAGCTGTCATCAGGTCTGATACCCTGATGCCATTCAGAGTCTCAGGACTGGTTTAAGAGATTTCCCTGTGGAGAACATCAGCTTTCTTTTCTAACTACCACCCTTGATAGTTTCTTCCTTCCTTATGGTGGTTGTTCAAAAGGTCAAGTTCCCTGTCTGAGATGTGGAGCACATAGAGGTTTGGGGTTTTTATAAAGAACATTGGCTACTTGTGCCACACTCATCAAGTTTTAGAGCACAAGTCACTCTTCCCCTCTGCTTTGGACTTACTCCAATCAGAGAACTTTACAAGAGTGCAATATTGAACAGCCTGCCAACCTTTATCAAATGCTTTAGTTCTTTCTTTAAATTAGCAGCTGGAGCAGTTCTATTGTCATTATTTAACTGTCACAACTAAAATTCTTTCAGGCCTGTTGGCTCTAGGGGTTATGTTATCAGAATGTGTTTAGAAGTGGGAGAGGAGGAGTCCTTGATTACTGCTGTTTAAAATCAAAATGCTTTCATTCATTGTCTATGCACAGCACAGGGAGAGTTACCAGGGCAATTACACAGATCTGGATGCTACTTTTTTTAAAATATTGTCACCTAAGGAGATGTTTGTATACCTACAGATAGATCCCTTGTGGCAGTTATATGCTGAAGGTACGCTTATGGCAGAAGTTCATGTTCTTTTTTCCACTCCCATTTCTCCCTAAGGTATCTTGCTTACCCAGCCTGTTGGTTGGCTGGGTGGTTTTGTTGACCCACACTTTTAGCAGTGTAGAAGTCCTCTGGAGGAGCTGGGTCAGTCCTGCCAATTTACTTTGACAAATACTGTTCTTTTCATTGTGAATACAAACTAGCTGGAGATCCATTTTTAAGTCCCACATGAAGTGGTACTTAGAACAATGTAAAAACCTAAAGCAGGATCTTAAACAGGATCTTAAAGTAGGACCTTAAAGCTGGGCCAAGGATCCAGCTATGAGAATTTATTATAATAATATAATAATTAATACTATTATGTTTGTTATTTTATTATTTGTGTTACTTTATGAATAAAGTCAAACCCAGCAAAGGTTAGCTTTTACTTTATTTTGTTTAGTTCTGATGCTGACTGAATATGTTGCAGTAGTTACTGCTTCTGAATGCCATGTAAATAGAACAGTGATAATATATTCTGAAATATACACTGATAGTATATTCTGAAATATTTCTTTTTAATTTGAATTTTTTATACTTGTTGATTTACTATGTCTTATGTACTGTTATCTGCAAAAACTAATGGAAAATGTGGTAGCTTGCTGTCAAGTGTTCTATAATGTGTTTTAGCTGAAATCATGGCTTTGGAGCAGTGCCTGTCACAGCACTGCTGAAGTGTTGCTGTGTAGAAGATGTTTAATAGTACTATATGTGTCTTAAAATATCATAGGCTACTTTTAGTAGAAGTCACCATTAAGTAAGTAGCAGTGGAGTGGTAAGGTAACTTTAATATGCTCATTTTTCTAGAAGAAAGATCTCTGTCCATTTAACTAACCTTAGATAAAATAAAATGTGTACTATCCCATTTATTAGATTTTTGCGCTATCGCTTACTACTTTTACACAGCCAGTATTCAATGCTGTATGACTAAATTCCTCGTATCATCTTTGTATTTGACAGGTCAATATATGTTCTGTTGAAATAGAAAGGGAGGAAAGTGCAGGCAGGTTTGTTCCAGAATTAAATAGGGGCCTTGCAGAGAATTTGCTTAGCTTCCTATTTTATGCAAGATATAAAATCAAAATATTTTTAAAGTTACTTCAACTGGTTTGGGATTTTTCCCTTATTTTGGAAGAAAGAGGTGGAAAAAGAATTCCTTAAAAATGAAAAAAAAATCCCTATCAACAAAAGCCATATTCTGTTTCATTTGGGGTGCAATAAAAACAAAAAAAAAAACCCAGCATGTAAAAGTTGTAAGCCCAGAAATAAATAAAATAAAAGCATCAGTCATTTCTATCACTGGGGAACTTTTTTCATCTAAGCACATATGAACAATTGATCCTTGTAGTCATATATAGCAGTAAACATTAATAACTTAACAGTCTGAAGTCAGTGCTGAAGATATGGAGCATTATTGAAAGATGGAGTCGAGCAGGTGGCACTTTAATATGTTCAGTGTCATGGTTGACTCTAAAGACTAGTAGAATGAAATTACTTGAGGTTCTAAAGATTTAAAAAGCGAACTCATTTTGCTGCACTAAGGAAATGCTACTGATCAGGCTTTCTGTGTCCCTTTTTTCTAGGCTAGAAAATATTAACCCTGAAGAAAATGACATGGTAAGCCATTCTCTGAGGAGATTTCTTGATGTCAGTCTTATATCTTAGAGGCTTAAGTTCAATTGAGTGGGTTTCAAGAACTAAGATGTGGGAAAAAGAAGAATTGACACACTAATAATGTACATCTTTGCTGCAATATGAAAATTCAATAACTTCACTCAGTCAATTTACAATTCACATGTGCCTATTAATTAAAACCCTATATTAAATAAAATATATTAAAACTTCATGTCTGACTAACATATAATGCTGTTGGTAGACATTACAGGAATTACTGAACAGAATAAACAATGCAGACACAGGGATAGATATACTGAAGAATGGAGCTATAATTCTGAACCGAATACACAGGACCAAAGAACGTAAAAAGAAAATAATAGCTGAGGAAATGAATGCAGTAATAGAGCAACGGGATGCTGCTTTATCTCAAGTAAGTCTCTACAAGTATATTATCACTCAGTAGAAAATTTCTTCTTTTGTTTTTGTTTTTTTTTCTTGGAGGGGGGCAGGGGTTGGTTTACTTTTGGGGAAGAAAACTATTTTGTTTACTTTTCTCTCTTGAAAATCTCAAATGAGAGCCCTTGTAGTAAATGTCTGATTACTAATCAACTTTTTCTTCATGGTAGTAGTGTCCATTAAAATGGCATCACTGTGTTTCCTGAGAAAAGTTATGTTTGCATTTTTTGCACTTCATTATTCTCTGTCTTCTTTCTAAAACAAAATGGTTTTCAGTGAGTTGACCAATCTAAAAAGCTATTTAGGGCTTAGTTTTGAAGTGTGCTGTATTGGTGAAATGCATTGGATGACAGTTAACTGGGACAGAAGGATTTATAAAGGTTTGTAAGTAGCAAAAATATACATTAAAGGAAGGTAACAGTACCACATGCAACAATGCAAGCAATTCCTCCCTTTGTTGCCTTACATGCAGGAGATAAAAATCAGCATGTGGTCCTTGACTCTCAAAGTCTTACCCATCTACTACGTGACTTGAAAGAATCTGGGTTCTTTCTTCTGCTCAGATCACTCATTGCCTGCAATTTCCTATTTTGACAGAACAGTAATTGTCTTCATTCTCTTCACCATAAAGAGAGTTTCCTTGCATTTTTCATCTCATGTAAGAGTTTTTGTCATTACTTTGGTTTGAGTTTAGCTTTTTTACCGACCATTTTTAATGCATTTTTAACTCAAAAATGAGTTGTAAGGAGGAACAGACCAAGTAGGGAATATATCTCCTGAGAAAAGATCTTAGACTGGATGAAGCCCCTTATGCCAGGCAACAAATTTGATCTGACTCTTCCAATATTGAAAATTTTGATTTTTAATGTAAGTAACCAAAGTTGGCCCATATGTAACTAATTTAAAGTCAGGTTCGTGATCTTTAATGATATCAATAATGTTAATTGAATTTATATTCTATTGAGAAGTCCTGTGATAAAAGTTCTCCCTCTACAAACACTGTAATTTTCATGCTTTTTCACTCATTTTTTACATTCTCTCGTACTTTAACCTTGAAAGCCCCATCTGCCTGGTGCTTAGAATATTTTTGTGTCTGTCAAGAGTATGTATTGCAAAAACTCTTAATGTATTATTGGTGGTATTTTACTTTCTGAGTCAATTTTTTTCTTTTTATAATAATATTGCTGGGATGCTTCCCAGCACAGGTGCTGGGAATCGTCCAAAAGTCCTTCCAAAAGTTTATGTTCTTTCTTCTTGCACAGGGCATTCGAAAAGTGAGCATCTTGTAACAGGAAAGCTTTCAGCAACTATTATTTCAGTTTTGGTTCTTTGCTGAAGTGGACTTTCAGGCATACTTGGACCATGAAACTTCTATCAATGTCAAAGAAGAATTTTATTGTCAGTCATTTTAATACACATTTTAATTTAATTGATGTTAAGCTGCCTGTTTATGGAGTAATAATTTCCAAGTAATCAGCTTGAAAATTAATAAAGATAATAATTTTGGATAGTAATGGCTCAGGTGTCACCATTAGCAAAGCCATCTTTAGCCATATCAGCAAAAAGCACAGGTAATGTTAACTAGATACTGCAGCTGAAAAAACAAATTAATGGAATAATAAATCCTCACAAAATGAAGATGTAAATATTTGGTATTAGGCTGTAGTACTATGATACCACTAGCCATTTATAGCACCATTGTTTTAAATTAATTGTTAATAAAACTATTCATCATGTGTTTTCAAATATGTGATGCTTTTACAGCTGTTACTGTTGAATCTAGAAAATAGGTCCTTGGAATTGAAGCTACCTTTCCCACCTGTGTTTCTCACTTGATGATTCCTTGGGAATTCATACCGTACTTGAATTATTAGTAGTCTTTTGTTAACATTGCAATAGCAGTAGTTATTACAGTGCTAACAGCAAGAACAATAGGAGAGGGATTCTACATTAGACCACAAAGGGACTAGATATAATTCAGGGGATGTATATGCTTAGCATAACAAATGCAAATTATTGGAAGTTAGATCTGGGGTTGCCTCAGGCATTCATAACAATGCAAGTTAAAATCTTTTTCTTTTTGTGGAAATGACATCAAATATGAAGGAGAGAATTGAGAGCAGGTTGAGAAGAAGCAGGAATAGAGTAAGCCATTAGCATACTGTGTCTGTCCTCTGGAAAATGCATTTGTAAAGTTCAGGGGTCACTGGGCAATTGAGGTTGAATGTTTCATGAGACATGGTGTTGCTTTGTTCCTGGTTGCTGTTGTGTGGAGCTGGAGACAGCAACGTCATTTGAGTGACCACCAGAGCTGGTTCCATATGATGGACAGCCACCTACACAATAACAAGAGTCTGGGCTGACTGTGTTTAGTGAAGCTGCATCTATTGCTTTTTGCTGTGATTTCCTTCACGATAGCCTGGCATTTGGCAATTGAGCACAGCAAGCCTATGTAGTGTCTAGCTTTTGAGGGTTAACTCACGGGATTTCTGATTTTTCTATGTAAGAAACAATAATGTGAAAACCTTCACAGCTTAAACACATTGCTTTGATTTCAAGTGAGGAATAAAGTACATTTTCAGAGAATGGACATTCTTTAAACTATGCATTTCCTATGACCAGGCAAATACAGATTACTTCCAACTAGTCCTTTAAATTCAGTTTCATCATGCTTTTTTTGGTAGCTGTACTACTGAGCTTCATTTAGTTGGACTGAAGTTGCAGCATACTCAATGATTAGCTTGTTGTGATTCTTCTGTTTAGATTTTATTTTAATTCTTTTATTCTTCAAAATATGAAGAGCACTTTCCATGTCTTGAAAAGGCCATAAAAATGTTTTTCCTAGCTGTAACATCCAAGAACCTCTGTGTATTTTTTGAGTTTTCCAGTGTGAGCATTGCTTCTTACTAGGAAGCAAATTGAGGCACTTCTCTCACTGTATTGAGCTGTGCAAGTGTATGTAATCTCAGATCTTTTCACTAGATTGCTGAGCAAATATGCAAACTACTTTTTGTATGTGTGAAAACAAATGAAATGGTATAAACTCAAATATTTGATACTACTTTTAGTATGTATTTTCAAGTGAATAATAAACAAACAACTAGAGCATGGCTAAACATTGACATCCATCTTCTGTATCAACCCCCTTAAAAAAACAAACTCAGCAGTTTGGTTGTATTTGCTAAGATATGTTTGTTAGTGAACAGATATTGTGTGATACTGAGGATCTACAGTGTGTTTTATGACTGATCCTCTGAAAGAAATAAAACGTCATTTTCTTGTCTGTAACATTCAGTTTTGTCTTAACTCATTCAAGGAAAAAAAATTGTTTGTCCAGGTGATCATAATGCAGTTTTACCTTTCTTGAGAAATCTCTCTTGCTTGAGTAATCCAGTGAGTGACAGACACTTAGTAGAGATTCCATATGGCATAGTCACATTGTGTGATCCTCATAAAATACTCTAAAGAAGTGATTTCCAGCAGGAGGCAATGCAGTACAGTGTCTCAGCAACCTATCAGCCACATCACACCTTGTGGACAGGAATGTTAATATCATTACAGGGTTGGCAGCCAAAGACTTGAGTAAGTCATTACAATTACTTTTCTTCTGGTTTAGACAAGAAAGGGGACCTTTTAATTGGTTCAGCTTGAAGGAAGTGATTTTTTAAAGCTCATTAAGAGATTAGGAAATTGTGTGTTTGATATGTTTCCAGTCCTAACTAATTCTGTAAATGTGGGAGGTTTTTAATTGGTAACAGTCATTTCTATACTGAGTTTTAAATATTAAAGAGATATATATAATTTTCTGTTAAGGAATAGCAGTGGTTTCATGGCTGGCAAAGTATTACCTCTAGTACACTGATCTTGAAGCAATAGCGTAACTGGCAAGCAAACCTGGTTTTACAGCTTTGAATAGTTTGACCACATCCTGCTGTGCAGGAACATGCTTATGACTGTTCATGTAAAAAATTGGCAGGCACCCAGTTGCTCATCTGAAGCAAGTTAAAGAATCCTTCTCCATTTTGAGGCGCTGCTTGGCAGCAGGCAGCACTTTATCATCATTGAAAACAATGACGAGATGCACTGTGCTTGACTTCCTATCACTATCAGTTTTGACTAATGACTAATAACTGATAAATGTCTGTACTTAGAACTAGTCAGCTTCTTGCTAGCTTTTCCTTTTTTTGTTTTTGTTCTGCTAAAGTAATTTTCTTCCTTTTACACCAAGTGATGTAAAAGGAAGAGCTCTGTGTTGCCTGCGATTTACAGAGCATTAAGGCATTCTCAGCACTGGAGTGAACAGGTCTTACTGAGGTAGTAAGTCCAAGAGTTGTATGAAATGTAAAAACAAGAAATATAAATGAAAAAAAAATATTTACAAATCTTGGACCCTTAATAGGGGAATACTCAGGTGACAGGTTACAATGCCTCATGACTCTTGGGACAGAGGTGATCCCTTTGCAAACCAAACCACAGTGTGGGATGGGGCTTTTGTACTTTTAATTAGAGGTCTGGTTTTATACTCTGTGTTTTGGTACCCTTTGGCACTTCTTGATTAAGGATGCTAATCAAGTTCTTGGCTGGCAGGAGCGTATCTGACAGTATCCCCCTACCTACTCTCTCAAGGTGCTTACCCTCCTTTTCCATTTGCCACACATATTTAGGAACAGGAAAAGAAGAAGTAGGATGCAATATCCATAGTTGTTTATGAACCAGGCAGCTGTTTTTGGATACTGCTGTTGATGATTTTGGTCATAAACTTATTTCAGGAGGAAAGTGAAAGTAAAGGGAATGTTTATTGTACTTTGAGGATCCAAGAACCATGCTTGTTCACTAATGGCTAGTTTCCTTTGGGAAGGCATCAGCAAGTTGATGTTGTTCTCATTTGCATCCTTTTCTCTGAGATGTAGCTGATGAATGGGCATGGGAAAATTCCTTGCCAGCAGGATGGCTGAACAGAGAGAGGACCCCTGT